TATATCTATCGTACATCCTTGGAAAATTTTGGAAGATTTGTTTTTACCTACTTTTTCTATTAACTCGAAAATCTATTTATTCACTTGAAAACATAGACATAACACTATTAGAATAATTTTGTCACTAAAGGGCAAACAAATCTTAACAATATGCACTCTTTTACACAGTGATGTTTTAATATATTTATCATAATAAATCAACGTTACCAGTTATATGGATCCCTCCCAATTGTCTTATTATCGGTGCCATGGAAATTTATATTCTATTCGTAGCAGTAATCAAGAGTTCATATCAATACTTTTTTAAAAAGTTCAGTGTTTACTACTCATTTAAAACAATTAGTTATAAGTATTTTGAAATATTAATTTGCCAGGTATTAACAATATGACTGTTACAAATAACATGTAATTTCCATTAAAACAATTAATGTTTTGAATCCATTTGAACCGATTATTTTGTTAATAGCAAATTATGTCGATAATGTCACGTTTACAATACTCTCAATATAGCTCTGAAAGCCTTTTTACAAACGTTTACATACGCTTCTTATTTACCCATTAAACAATATTGATAGCCTTTATTATTTTAAATCGAAAAGATTTAATGGTATAGACATAACACAAATTAAGGACGTACAATGTGCAAGAGTGATTATTTCAAGTATATTCAAATTAAAGATATACCTGTCGCACTTAAAGGTTATAAACTTGCTTGAATCGATAAATTGTTGGTCAGAGCATGTGCTTGTTAGCCTAAAAGGTATTACATTGAATACATTTATCACCAGTGGTAAGTCAAATATTTTAAAAGTATATGGATATTGAATGCACTGATAACAATGATTGCATGTAAAATTTGAAGGACATTTTTTAATAGTTATGAAAAATGAAAAAATAAACAAAGCTAGATCAATAGTGTAATCTATACATACTTAAGTGTATAGAGCTATATATCTTCTTTACAAATTTATTGTCTGAATTGAAAAAATATATATAAAAGAATACTTCCAAAAAGCTTGTAGACAGTAAATAAAGTACTTAACATGAACAAAATAAGCTTACGAATTAATACTTTGTTCCCTGTTTACGTACACTTTTTATGAGTGTTAAAAAACAGAGACATTTAATGTTACAATTCTTTCCAATATCAACCGTAAGATTATGGAACAAATATAATTTTTCCTGTTGTTACTTTGAAATTTAAATTCCTAAGATACAGGTTTATACCATTAACGTTGTTCGTAACAGAATTTCAGAAGGTAACAGCAATAACTGAAACAAACCTAAATGAACAGAACACATTTCAATATTTTTTGTCTAAAAGTACCAGGTAAGATAATATTTCGGTATATAGCGCTGTCTAGTAAGTAAAATAATTGACGCATGTCAATGTGGTCTTACTGACAACGACTCATTGCAACGTTTAATTTACATTGAAAAGAAGCTGGTGTGATTTTTTGCTTCTGCAGGCCATATTACGCAACCTTTTCCAATGTACCCTTGCCGTCTTCTGAAAATTTGACCATCGGAGAGACTCGTATGACCATGCTCACCAACCTCATTGACAAGGACCGGCTGGCCATCTGCATCTGATTGGTTTTCATAAAAATCAATGGTTTTCATAAAAATCAATGCCATAGAATATGCAGAAACCCTGGTATCCTTTTGGTACTCTTAACCTGTATCTTAAGACATAAAATAATTAGCAGTACGACTAACTGAACCCTTTGATTTGTTAACCAATGTATCTACCTCATCTACATTTATAAAGAACTTTATCCGATCATAATGGGTCTTCTTATAATCTTCACATTTATCACAAAGTAACAGATCGTGTAGCACTCCAGCCATCCAGCCTCGAAATGTCTCATTTTGCATTGATATGTTTGACATTGCATCAGCAACCAACACAATGTCTAAAATTATGTTAAACTGAGAGAGATCTTTCAGTCAACACCCCAGTTGTCCTTGTGACTCCCTTAAATTCATCAACCTCCTCTGCTCCAATCGAATCATTGGAGGCCACCGTTTCCAAGAAAAAGTCATGTTGATTCCTCAATGCCGGAGATTGTGTCAACAAGCACTTCTGAATGCCTCTGCTTGATCTTCGTGCCAGACAAATTTGCTTTGCCTTTGACGGCAAACAATGGGGCAGCTATCCTAGAGAAGTCCTTTACAAGCCTTCTACGATAGTTAACCAACCCTAAAGATTCTTGGCACTGTTGGGAAAGGGTAATCTTTCGCCACTGCTATGTCATGTTCTGTCATAACAATAATGTCCCTGCCGACTTTATGGCAAAATAACTTGTTTTTAGCCTGTGCCTCCAAAGTCTCAAAATGGCATCCCGCAAGTTTTAGAGATTGTGGTTAAAACTGCGTTAAGGCAATGTGGTATCATCTAGAAATACTATCACTGCCTTCCACGTGCCTTATTGGAGATGGCGAGTGAACTGTTCAGAAAGAACGGTTCCAAAGTACATTTACCATCATAAGATAAATGTTCAGGAAAGGTCAACAACAGGTTACGAACCCTTGAACGCCTATGGTTTGATGGTGCCATAGCAAACATAGTGTCATCACTGGAATCATTATCCACTACCAAGTCAAATCCGATGGGATGGTAGAGTATGGTTGTGGTAAGGTGGGTGGATGTGTGGATTTTGACTTTGTGGCAGTAAAATACGCTGGAGTCATCAACTTCAGATCTTGCCGCCCTAGTGTGACAGGGTTTAAGAATTAATTTGGGGCAACCATTGTCTGAGTACTTGTTTCAATCGTATTTTGTATATTCAAACAAATGAAAACAAACTTCTAAGTCACACTGTTCTTCAAATGAGTTTCAATGTTCCATTTTGTCTATGTTTTCGCCAGCGAGGTAGCTGTTAATACGTCTTCATGTGTTGTAAAAGAAGATGTAAAATCAGTTTTAGCAGGCGTCTTCAGACGAAGGTGATGCCTCACTAGATTTTTTCTAGCAGGTGCAGTCTGTTTCATATTAAGTTGGTAATGGTTTTGCTTAGTTAGTTGGCCACTACATCAGTCGTTGGATTGCTTTTTTTCTGTTTATTGCTTTCAGCAATGTTTAATGTCCGTAGCATTATAGTGCGCTTTATATATTTGTAAAACATGAACAGTCTCTGTTGTTTTGCCCGACGAAAATTTTACATTTCTATTTCTGCCAATTATACAATTTATTTTGATTTTTTATATCCAGAAACAACTCACTGTTTTCCTGAACTAAATGCATTTATATAAGGCATTTTGTACTGAAATCTGTATAAAGATGGCAAATTTTATAACTTTAACCAGAAATTTCTTGGATCTACAATGGTGTAATGGCGGACGTAGATAGTATTCCCGGGGAGAAAGTGAGTTAGACTTAATTTATTGAATCTTCTATTTTCAGTGAGTGCCTTTTATTATTTTATTATGTTTAATTTTGGTTCAGAAGATTACTTTAAAGGTTTTAAAGGAATATTAACTTAAAGTTTAATAGGTGGATAGATCTTTTTTCAAGAGGAATGTGGTGCACAAGTATAATAACTCCTCACTACATTCTTTTAAAGTTGTTTCCTTTCTTGCATAATGTTTGTTTAGATAACAAATATAACTTAAGAGATATTTATTCACAACTTCATTGAAGAAAAGATAACGATATGGTGAAATGCAGTTGAAAGAATGACAACTCACTCTCCTCATAAACCATATTTTGTCAATCTCATTATTGCTGTTTGCCTAATTTGCTATTTTATAAACCGGGCTATAGAATTATTTATTTCAGAGCGTGTAACTTTTGTTTGATTAGTTTTTTGATCTAGCTTTGTACTTTTTGGGTAAGTGCCCTTTGTTGAGTATGATTATGGCAATATTTTACTATATAGATGGTCTGTTGTCGAAACAATCTTCATGGTTAGGAACTTAGATATTAAAAATATTACATCGCAAGAAATGCAACAAATATTTTACAATAATATGTTACTTTAAAGGAACGTTTAGAGTCAAACCCCGCTGCGCTAGTAACACAGATTTATGTGAAAAAATGATATCGTACTAGAATTACCTACACAAGGACCAGCCTTTCCTTGTTGATTTTGTTCATTTTTTTCCGTATATGTATCACCTGTATATATTACCTAAAGCTTAATTTCAAAAAGATATTAGTATCATGCCACTGTGCGCAAAATATGTAAATTGTAGACATATAGCTCAAACATATACATGTAATATGTCGCTGTGACTTCTGATGGTTTAAGTTACATATACATTAATTTTGTATTTATGATCTGGATAAAGTATGATCCCTAGATAGCATTTATCACAACAAAATAACATGAAAATTGCAGACTCGGTTTGATTGAGTCTGTGAAATGTGCAATATCCCTCACCTCCCCTAGAACCGGCGTGAGCATACTCAATTTTCAACACTTAAAAGTGTTGGACTCAATGATCCAGTAACAAGTATGAGTCAACTTTTTACAACTGACACCTGCTATTTTGAAGTGATAAAGTCTGATCTCTCAGAAGCACTCAGCATAACAACAAAATAACATGAACATTGCAGACTAGGTATGATTAAGTCTGTACATGAGTGATACTGTTAAAAGTGGAACATCCCACCTAAAAACATAAAACAAGCTTGAATGAACTAGCTCTTTAAAAAAATTGTTTGAATTTGTATATATAATATAATATTTAAATATTCTCTTACTAATTTCAATTCGAATGATCACATAAAGTTTAATGGAAAACAATACTTATTTGAATGATCATTCCAGTACCGGACAAAAATTATATACAATAATTAAATCCTAAACTGTTTACAATGAATACGTTTTTATCCCCTGAGAAAAAAATATTGATAGTTATTGAAAGATATTTCGGAAGGTAATATATATAAAAGGAAAAAACATTGAACATAACATTTGTTGAAGATTAACAAGAACTTGTAATGTAACACGGTAAGGAATATCATTATTTCTCTTTCAAAATTGTTTTTTTAGGAAAACAAGAATGAAATAAAGTTGAAATTATGCCTCAAACATATCTGCGAAAGTATGGTCATTTGACAGCTGTTGTCTATCAGTGTGGCTTTAGAATCACCAAAGAGTTGTTTTTCAAAAGAGTAAAGGATTTAACGCCACCAGGTCACATCCCATCTCCATGGACTGTCGACCACTTCCTGCATACAGAAAGGGATAGCATACTTAAACATGATCTTGGCAAAGATTTGAAAGAAAATCTGTTCCCTGGATTTTCTAAACCAACTGACACTGAGACATGGGATCTAAATACATTCTGTTTCCTTATAATTCATTTCTGTAAACTGCGAAAAGATGTCAAAGACCACATAATTCTTTTGAGAAGATTTAGGAATGAGTTAGTTCACATGGCAGAATCAGCACTGGACTTTGACGACGATACATACAAAACAATTCTTGATCAGATTGAAAATATCATAAAAAGATGTTCACAAGCGATGGGAACACCTCAGCTAGAAGACGAATTACGACCGTGTTTAAAAGACACAGGTATTATGCAATCAGCTGATGTGGAAGAGATAAAGGCGAAATTGATTAAATGGTTAGAGGACGAAGAAAAATATCATGTTTGGCTTGAAATCTCACATGAAGGTAATTGATTTAAGATAAAATAAATAAGCAGGAGAATATTTTATGATTCAGATGGGCATATTAAAATTATTCCACAGAACTTGTTGAAATTAACGACTTGGAAGTATCGTGTTCATCTTTGACATCTTTGTGTTAATGTTAGAATATAGTAATTTCCTTCATGGAAAATTTTCCAAATGATAATTATCAGTTCTTATATATTTCATCCTATTTGAAGTTAAAAGGAAAATATACAAAATAAAATTATGCATTACATGTGCCCGTAAATTTTGCCTAATATGTCTTTACTTTCGCCGTTTGACATCTTTTTAGAGTATGAATGTTTGTCTTTTAGGTCTTGAGAAGCTTAATTCCTATTTACTTGGCATACAAGAAAACCATGAGAGAAGTGGAAGACATGCAAGAATTCCTTTACGTAAATTTTTATGTTTCTTTAACTGTAGAAATGGAAGAACTTATAATTCTACGGTTGTACGTGAAAAAAAAAACCCATAAAAACAACTTAAGTATATATCAAATTTGATACTCATCATCAATAAAATGTTTTTTATTTATCTTGAATAAAAGAATCACGCTACTTGGTCAGAATAAACGACAGTAATTTTCGATAGTTTTTCACTATTCACATAAACGATTTAAGTTACACATATCAGTATGAATGTAAACGAAAATGGTGGCATGAACTGAAGCATAAGACCCTTTCCTTCATGCCTTTGTTCAATCACGAGAACGTCCCTTGCAGAATTAGATCCACAGGGAGATAATAAAATGGATTAAAGTACGCAATTTTTATGGTACAAAAGCCATTTGTATGGAGATATGGCAATAAGGGATATAGAAAAAAAATGGTAATATCTGCTAAAATGAAGGAAAACATAATTTTGTATTACTTTTTTTTTAATGGTCTGAGTTTGCACTTGGTTATATGCAATAAAAATGCAAAATCTTACATTTCAGCACTTGATATTGTAGTACACTTTGTAACAAATGATGAAAGTGAAACAACGGCGGGAATTGTTGTTAGTGGCAGAGCCTATATTGAATTTATTAAAGATGATATTCGTGAATTGGGCCCAGAAGTTGAAAGCGACAGCCCTGGTTCCATTCTTTTCAAATTTACATGCTTCTCGGTTACGTCTCTGATTTATTTGATCAACTACTTTAGCGGCCCGATTCTTCACAGACGCGTTCACGAAATCGCTAATACAACTTATGAAAAGGAAGAGGGAATGATAAAAATACAGATCGGTATTCCAGAAGAAAACCAAAGGGAAATCATCCGACAGTTAGGTACGTGTATTTGAAGATATCATCTTTATTTTCAAAGTAAGCTTTCAAAGTTGAAATAAAATAACAAGAAAGTACATGTCATTGAATGCAAATACATTTTATAAGTTTATTAACAATATTGTGATCATGTTCTTTAGAAAATTACAAATCAAATATTTGATTAGCTTATTGAAGTCTTATAATCTATATGTTTGGTAGTTTTGCAAAGCGAACGACCCAAATGGGCAGATATCTTCTTTAACTCGAAAGGTATTCACGTTATAATGTCAATTGATATTAGTAATTATAATCCAGATGTGTATTTTATTTCTATAAGCAGATTCGACAACCTCAAATGACTATCAGCCACATTCGAAGAAATTAAGAGTTTCCATGCATGTAAGGGAATGAATATTTTATTTTTTTATGCCAACAGAGCATCTGCAATGCGGTGGCACAATGTGATTCACCTGTGCGTGTTGCGTTGTGTGTGTGTCATATATATTGATTTTTTTTTTAAAAGTTCTTCTAAAAAAGCAGTTAGTCCAGCTGCAGCTAAACTTGACATGATTGTTCTTGAATGGCTTCCAAAATGTTTGTCTGGCTTTCATGGGAATCTTAAGAAATTATATGATTTTTTTTTAAATTTTCTTCTAAAGACTCACAAGGCCAAGATCTTAGATATTATTTCAAACGCATTTGCTTTTAGACAAAATTGGTCCCAGTCCCGGTGGTCATTGACATATCAACATTGTACATATAGTATAAACTTTATAAATCCTATTATCTGAGCAACCTGTATTGGAGTGTTTTTAAAACATGTGTACATGTTATCCAATTTGTCTATAAAAAGATTCAATTGCTGGAATGCAGCCTACAGGCCGTGACCTCTAGCAAGAAAAATGTATCCCTTTCAGATATTTATGAAATGAAAAGCGGTCACAAACTCTAACAAGAGAGCTCTGCATGTATATTAATGAAAACGTTTTTGTTTTTAGAAATTGAAAATGCTTGTATTTAAGAAAAATAACTGTAACTGCATTTCAAAGTTTAATACAGCTATGTAATACAGTAAATAATATTGCACTATGACCTTTGTATCTTAACATAAGACACATCTGCACAATGTCTTTCATTTGACATGCTAAATCTGACCTTGGCCTCTAAATTCACTAGACACTACTGGCATTATTGCAAAGCTTAGTTGTAAAGAAAATATTAGAAATTAAAAGAAAATCTACTTTTGTTATATTAGTTATGTTGGCATAGCATTTCTTCACAAATACAATATGGTTTTAACCAAAAACTTCTGTTATTCATCAAAAGATTAGATTTATCTAAAACAATCAAATAGAGTTCATGATATAACATATTATTACCTTATGATTTCAATGTAATAGGAGATTACACCCTTATTGGAATAAAGTTTTTAATGTATGTACATTTGCTTTATTATACAATTTCATGTCTTCCTTCAGAATAAAAAAAATGTATATTTTACATAAAAAAGATGAGAATGCGTTTTATTATAAATGATTCTAAAGTGTCCCCATGGCGGGGCAGACATTGAACTTTTTAGCAAAGATTTATAGTACTATTGTGCAAGACATTACTTTTTAAAAGCAATTTTCCTCTGAGGGAACCTAAATTCGCCACGTAACTGCTGTTATTTCTGTCAAATAGGTATAATCAAAACGCATCGACATCATAATCATGTGTTACAGAAATTATCATGAACAATATTAAAATTTGAACTCAAAACTATTTTCATTTATGAGATATCTATATAATATTACTTATGTAAGGCAAATGAACTGGTTATTTTCACTACTAATGGCGTACCCTCATTCTTTTCAAAAACCACCATTGGTACTACTGAAAGTAACCAAAAATAACTTTTTTGAGTTTTCTGTTCCGTTCCAGAATAACCTTTCTCGTATATATCAAAACTCTCTGCCATTGATCAGTTCAATGCAGTAATGTTCCGTATGGAACACATTATAGAATACTTGATTTACATAGTTTGGTCTTGTCAACCTTAGTCTTCGCGCACGAACAATAAATACATTTGTAGTTATCGAACATTTTATCTTGTAACTTTAAAATTTAAACACAACTTCGCTATATTTGTTTGAAACTTTTAGCATATGACGCAAGTTGTATAGATATACTTGAACCTCATTGAATAGGGTCAAATCTTTTAAATAAGTTTTTCATTTATTTTGATATCAGGTGTTTAATGATCCGTTGTATGGTCAAATAGAGCTTCATCCATTGTGTGTAAACATCATTGATACACGACAGTTTCAGAGATTGAGGTACATCAAACAGCTGGACACATGTTACTATGTCTATCCTGGAGCTAGCCATAATAGATTCGAACATTCTATTGGGTAAGTTACTGTTATAATAATCTAGAGAAAAAGTGAATACATTGGAAGCTTCAATCCAAATAAAATTACATGAAAATTGCATACTCGATTAAATCGAGTCTGTACATGAGGGATAATAAGAAAGTGCTTCATATATTAAGTTTTTAATGGCCAAGATTGTTTTGCCAGTTGACCTGCTGGCTATATGAACAACGGTATGTTTGTTATCGAAAATTCTGAAAGCTCGGTGAAATTTGTCTGTTTGAAAAATCACTAGAAGGTGACAAGCTTTTGCTGGTCGTCAGATCCTAATGCGTAGCATTATTTAGCAGCTTGTTTTAATCAGATTTGGTCATCCAACATGCCAAAATTAAAATTCTGTAAATTTTGATTTGTATATGTCTGTCCATTGATTATAGATACCGTCTACGAGCAACCCTACTAGCATACGCATTTTTTACATTTAATTATATAACTTTGAATTTTATAACACCCGCAGACTCATTCATGAAGTTATCCTTGCTATATGAATTATTGTGTCTTTTGTTTTAAATATTCTTTCAGTTACACAGTTTTCCACATGTGGTTTCTTTATTTGTTACACCCTATTACTGTTTGCTTATATCATAGTTATTTATTTTTTTTTAAAAAAAGATGACTTTGAGCACACGGCACAAGCATTCAGCCCAATTTTCTTGTAAGGCTCAATTTTCTTGTAAGGCGTTTCATAGATTTTAATTTTGTTAACAACTGATATAAGCCCACTGTTACTGCGAATATTTTCCAGTGTTTGTCACTTGGCGGGAAAACTGTTGCGAGTTCTAAAAGAACGTCAGCCTGTGTTGGACATCACAACAAAGGACATTCTATGCGTAGAAATTGCTGCTCTTTGTCATGATTTAGGTAAGTTTTTACTCACTTTATATAACATAAATAATGTGCTTTTTATTCCAAATGGGCACCATGACTAGATTTTGGAAGAATATTTTATTACAAAGGTCATTATAACCTCATAATATGTCTCATAAATCATTCTATGCGTAGAGATTGCTGCTCTTTGTCCTGACTTTCTTGTGCTTTTTTATCAAAGTAGACATTATTTTTAGAACTTTAGAAGAATATCTTATAATTATATCATAGTTTGGAAACCGTTCGGTTGAAAATGTGTCAGAGTTAAATCATATACATATACATGCTAAGTACGTTCACTTGAGTGCAGGTATTAGTTACCCGCACTCCATCAGCATGCTCATTGATTGGTTCATTTTGTCTGGGGTTTACTTATTGTGACGGCAGAAAAAAGGGTAAGCGCTAGATGTATCATATTCAGATGCTCGTTCATAGGTTACTTTTTCTGGGGTTTCATATTGTGACAAAAGGGAACCTGTTGTCATTTTTGCCTATGATACAAAAAAGAAAGAACATCAAAACACTCGGCAATCCCCTCGTACAAATCAGAAAGCATCTTATTTCGATACTCTCTCTAATAATTAGTTGTTATTGTCTCATACATCGTTTATGAATTTTTCAGGAAACATAGCAGACATTTGAAACTTGTAAAAGAGAAACATTATATCGTATAACTAGTTATGCATATCATACATTTCTTAAGGTCAAGGACCATTCTCCCATGTGTTTGAAGATAAGTTCCTACCAGCTATAGATCAAGACAGTAAATGGAGGGTATCTTATATTTTCAGTCTGCTTTTTTACATCTACGTAGCATTTTTAAATGATCGAGCTGTTTGATCAGTGCTGTCACTTTTATCTTTATTACATGCCTTAATATTTTCATGGTATTTAAATACGAATTACCTAATATTTTATCAAACTTTATCAAACATATAACTATTTCCAATTATACTTCAATATTACAAATTTTGAAAAAATACAAATAAATGACATCTATATTTGAAGAAAAGACGCTTTGGAAACAAACAAGAATTAACACTTTTATTTAAAATATTTCTAGCATGAACGTGCCTCTGTGGAAATGTTTGAAGATATGATGCAAGAAAGAAACGGTAAACTTTACAAACTATTCCGTGAGTATATACCGGGATTAGAAGATAGAGATATAATTTTCATTAAAGAACTGATTGGGGTACCTCCGAAGCCAACGTCTGAAAAGGTAAATATTCTTTATATTTTTACTTAAAATTATACCACAAAGGTATACCTACATAAACCGTACAACACTTGTTGGTGCGACCTTAAAGTCAACCAAAAACCTCAGATAATGTATTTTATCATGTCATATTATTGTTACATATTTACTAAGACAATAATGCAATTATGTATCTAAATGCTTAATTGACTCTTTGTAATTTACAAAATCTTGTAAAAATTCGCTGTTTGTTTACCCTTTCTGTGTATTTGAAAACGTTAACTTGGCCTCAACAGTTGCCGTATTACATACATATATTTTGAAATAACTTTCATATTATAATAAATATATAAAAATAATAGTAATTCAATGGGCATTTAACGGTTTGATGATAAAGCATAATTTTTTACTGTTCACAGATTTGGCAATTCAAAGGAAGGGACAAGAACAAAAGTTTTCTTTACGAGGTATTTTGAAATTGATTCTTTATAATATAATATTGTGTTCCAGTTGTTTTCAAAGTCTATTTTGTTTATTTTTGGTATCAATAACTCTTGCATTTAAATTCGTATAGCTTGATAAATTGATATTACTTCACTCTGTTGCAAGGTGGTTGCTAACCATGTTAATGGAATAGATGTTGACCGCTGGGACTATATTGCCAGGGATAGTTACATGCTAGGAATGAAATCTGTATTTGATCACAATAGATGCATTCAACACGCTAGAGTAATTATGGCAGAGGGGCGAAAACAAATTTGCTACAGAGATAAGGTAAACTGACACACATAAATAATAACACTTTATTTGAATATCAATATACATAAAAATGATAAAATATACAAAAACTAGACGTTTACAAATGTTTCGAAAATGTTGCTATATTTCATTGACACTGCAATTTCTCATCAATTTCTACCAGGATGTATTCACAATTTTAGGCCGCTCAAGACCTGTACGATATGTTCTACAGTAGAATGGCACTGTACAGAAGGGCGTATCAGCACAAGACGCACAATATCATCGGATTAATGTAAAAAAATCAGTTATAACCATAACGAATTTATCTCAGCCTAAAACAATTGTGATGTTTCATCAAATTATTATTTAATAAACAATTTAGAGTCAATATTTGACACTTCTTTTCAGATAGTTTAGTTTTCTTCACATGACTTTGAAACAGTTCATATTTATCTTTCTCTATTTAATCGCATGTTAATAAGTTGTTCTTTTAACGCTGTCAATCTTTGCTGATATGAAGTAAAACAAATAGCTTGTGCTGTTTAAATCAAAGTTGAAATAATGATAATTGTTCCACAAAGAAAAGTATAATTAAGAAGTAAATATATCCGTTTTGCTTTTAATATGTTTTATTTCTTCTTTCTTTTCTATTTACAATTTAAGAATATAAATCTACTTGTTTCTCTATTTCAGGGTCCGTGACGCATTGCTTGCGGCAAATGAGAAACTATTCTTTATTGGTGAAAATTGGTAACTTAAACTATTTTTTATTCAGCATTACTTTCACATGACAATCTCTATATTCAGTATTTTCAATATGACCAATTCGTAAATACGCATTTATCTAAACATTGTCGTCACATAAGTAAATAGATGTACAAGAACATGTTCAATAAGTTAACGAATATATTTAAATTGTTGCAAGTTTTAAAAAAGAATTTCAATATCATCACGGAATAGAATATGGAAAAAATACAGTTATAGTTTAAACCACGCAGTTAGGTAAAATATTTATGAGGGCATATTTATTTAAAACAGTCGACCGGTAAAACTATCTGACACTATAAAAGACATGAAGGCGTTTGTTCATCTGACAGACGACATCCTGCTGCAAATACAAAGGTCAGTTGATAAGGATTTGGAAACCTCGAGGGAAATAATAAACAGGATTGTTCAAAGGGAATTCTACAAGTGTGTCACACAAACTCAAGTCGACGTTAAGCAGGTATTTTGATACAAAGAGCTTCTCAATATCGACATTAAGCAAAATTATATAATACAACCATGATTTATTTTACCCAGTAAACTATTAAATTATCAAGGTATTCTGCAAGTTTCATATTAGATTTATTTAATTTATGATGTCCGATTGCTCTAGGTTGAAATAGCTTATTTGCATACTGTTTTATTGCTTTTAAATGGAAAGTATATATTTTATGCAACATTTGTAGATATTTTTTTTTGCAATTCAAACAGCGTGAACACTTTTAGAAGACTGAGTATGTTATTTGAAGATTTATTCTTTTTTAGCGTCCCATTACTAATTTGACGAATAAAAACAGTTTAAGAATATCGTAACAAATACAAAATTCATGGTAGTAATGTTCTAAGTGAATATAAAATATAATAAAAACAGTCGTATACTTTTTATTTTTTGCAGAAAGGTTGGATAGTTGAGACTGAAGTTCAAGAAAATCTTTTTAACAAGATAAATCAGAAATTGCCCGAACCAAGAGAATTGTCAAAATTCATTGAAATTGATGCAAGTACCTTTACACATACATGTTTTATTAATTTACTCATTAATCTCATATTAAAAATTGTTTAAACTTAATTTTTGTAAGCACTATATTAAAGATCCTGTATGATGTAATTGACGTTGTTACAACACTTAAGTGAAATTTTATATATGTATATAATTATGTATTTAAAACAATTTTCAAAAATCGAAGAATATGTAAAATATGTACTGCAAATATTTGTACATATTATATGTAATCATTAGAATACATGTATATGCATTCATTTCTTATTGAAACATTTGACTTAGACTTTATAGAAAATAAATTTCTAATTTCCTCCCTTTATTTGCATGAAGTGTAAAATTCGGTAATACTTTTATAAATAATGCTTTTTGAAACATACAATATTGATAAATCTTAATTTGAGTATCATATTTATGATATAAAACCATAAAATATTGTGTAACATGATCTTTTACTATTAACAGAATATGCATATGCATGGTTCAAGGGATTTATAAATATGGTAATATAAATATAATAATTATTAAATTTTTATCGTAATTGTAAATTGAAAAAAAGACATTTTAAAAACTATATAAAAGCCCGATCAATAAAGAACGACATAAACTATATAAGAACACAACTTAATAAAAGAAAGCTCACTATTTAAGTCAATACGTTCGTTGAATAGGTTGTTAACCTGGACTATGGAAGCAAAGAAAAAGATCCTATTATGAACGTCTGGTTCTTCAAAAAAGGACAAGAGCAAAAAGCCATAAGAATAAACAAGGATCAAGTAAGATACTTAGAAGATATAATTTACTTTTAAAGCACGTTTGCTATTCTATAATTTATTACAATTATACCTCATTCAAATTTTCTATCGGAATATTGCAGCCAGGGAATTTGAAACTATGGTTAAGATCATAGGTAATACAACATTTGCAATACCCGGCATAGACAGGCATGCTCAACCAGAAAGGACAATTGAAAGCTTCTTAAAATGTATTTTAATGGTCACATATGTTTACTGCTCAAAATATTTAAACTTATTAAATGTAACATGTCCTCTCGGCGTATGACTGAAATTGGTAATGACACGACAAGTCTAGATAAGTTAATATGGATATGATGTTACCAAAAAGTGACAACTCACTATGTTACGTTCCACTAATAGACTAAACTCAGAAATTTGATATCTCTTTACGATGGTTTAGCCCCTTAATTTAAATGATTTCTAGGAAGAATGGTTGTTTTTGGCTCGCCGTCCGTGCTTTTCGTTGTGCTCTTGCCTGTTGTTTTTTTTCGGGTCCTGCTGGGCTCCTTGCGGTGGTCATGTGTTGGTGGGTCGTGTTGGGGTTTGCATTCAATGTACGCCGCCCTCCCTTATTGATTTTGTTTTTCATATTTTGAGCTGTACAGCTTGTAAAAAATTTAGGAAAACCTTAGTCTACGATTTTTGCTAATTTGTTTCTATTGCTTAAGGGATATCTCAGTTTTGAAATTATTTGTCATTCGCTGCCATTAAATAAATATACATTTTATTCATAGGTTTCCTTTATCCTTCCGGACACGTTTGCGGAACAATATGTTCGAATCTACTGTAGTGAAACAGACCTTGACTTATTCGATATTATTGAAAAGTCCTTTCAAGAATGGTGCACGGAAAACAATATTCCGCCACCAAAGGTATCTTTATGATCTTCTTTATGATTTTCTTTTCTTAGAGCGCTTTATCAGGGTAAAAACTTTGTATGGAAAGAAGTCTATATCATTAATTAGTTAATTTATGTTATTCAGCAATAAATCAAAGAGATCTTAGTCATTTCATTTTCTTCTTATAATGTATCATGGATATTTCAATACTAAACTTAATTTCAAAAAATATTTAATTCTTTTGTTGTTGTTGGGTTTTTCGGCCCAAGACAGTATATGTCACATAAGGACATATACTGAGGACTAAGGAAGACATCAGGTGCCCATCTGTGCATTATTTCAGGCAGAAATGGGATCCTGAAAAGAAGCACCGCAGTTCTGTAGCTAGTTTGATAGAAATCGACGATGCTTGTTTAATTTTACACTACAGTGGTGAGAGACAAGTAATTTGAAGTCAAAGACCTTAACGGATGCCCCTTAGTGATTTGATAACAGGATTGAACATTGAATACATTAAGAAACTGTTCAACGTATGGTAGAATGTGAGATCTTAACTTACTTCTTATATAAAATTATAGAAAATATTTTATAGATTTATTTATGCGTAAAATGTTATGAATCTATTTTCAAACGTTTTAATTGATTTGTTTTGTTTTGTTGTTTTAGGGTTCCGTTATACCATAGGTATAAATAAAAGAGGACAGTTAGACAGAGCATTATTTTATGCTGGAACATTCATTTTACATGTAAATGATGATTATTGTACTATACTATACAACTAAGTGTTTTGCATGTTCATATTATGAACAAGAGAAATGGACAACTGAAAACTTGTATTAGATGTATTATTAACCCTTATTTACTTTGCAAATTTGCACGAATATTATTTATTTCATTTTTTTACTTTTTTATACGCCCGGACAAATGTCGGTGTATATTGTTATGCAATGGCAGTTCGCCCAACCGTCCATTTGTCGGTTAGCAATTTCGTTGCTGCTATGTTTGGAAGAAAATTGAAACAACTTAACAGAAAAGTAAACCATAATAAGACCATAATGAGTTTGACCTTCCACAGGTCAATGTCATACGTCACCGAGAAAAAAAAACAAAATTACTAACAAGACTCATTACCCTGATATTTAAAAAAATGGCTCCGTACAGGGCCGGGCGGCGTGACATATTTTACATGTACACAGATTTATATGGTGCACATGTCTTAAAAATCTCTTTCCCAAAACCTACAATTTTCAGAGCATAGATATTTATCATGTAGCTGAGTTTATAAAAGTAGAGTTATTACTTTTGTACTGATCATGAAAATGACATGTATCAATATAGATCTCAACAAATATTAAAGGAAATACCTATAAATCTCTGCCCTGGGGTCACTCTGAATCATATTGATAATTGAGATAAAGCATGTTCCGGAAAAGTAATGAACTGAATCGGTTTCTTCTGTAATTTAAATATTATTTGTGATTTCTTTAAAAATTTAATTACTAAATACAAATTTGCATTCGAACGTATATTGTCCCGCCTATGCGGTGCTCTTGTTAATTCTTGCGTGTAGTGTATATGGATGTTTAAACAGGTTTTGTTTTTTGGTGTAAATTGTCAAATATAGATCAAAACAGAGTAAATTTCAAGATATCAAAGTACTGTTATAACCTTGCAAGTAGAAATTGTAGCAACTGGCATTTTAGGATGAAAAGCCTCTTTATAAAATTTGTTTGTGTAGATTTTAGTGACTGTACATTGCCACAGAATGAAAATCTTGTTGTTGATACATTGTGAAGAATGCAATGGATGTATTGATAGATGAATGGATAAGATCAGTTCATTGTATATTTAGTAAATCTGGTGATGGTAGAAACAAGTTAAGGTTATATCAGAAATTTTAAGTTTGATTTTGAACAGGAGCATTATGTCAGTAAAGTTATGTCTTATCGCCATAGATCAGCATTGGCTAAATTTAAACGTGGTGTTGCACCAATCAGATTGGAGATTGGCAGATACGAAAGATTAAATGTTAACGATAGAGTATGTCCTATTTGTAATAATGGCATCGAAGATGAGATGCACGTATTATTGCATTGCCCCCAGTACACTGATATTCGCAATAAATTATTTGCAAATGCTGCTGAAAATTGTACTTTGTTTAATTCTTATAATGATATTGCCAAGCTTTGCTTCCTCTTGTCAAATGATGATATTGTCAAATATACTGCAAAATCCTGCTACGAAATACTTAATGTTAGAAGAGATTTTTTGTACCAATAAATATATATTTTAATTGCTTCATCTTAGATGGAGGGTGACAATACACATTATTAATTCAAAAATTTAAAGTTGATGATGTGTGTGTCTCACCTCCTGCCTAAAATGAACATTTTAAATAACAAAAGATCTTTTATTGTATAAATGTTAAAAATGTATCTTTAAACCAACTAGAAAATTTTATCTTCCTGCTTTGATAATCACCACTGACCAGTCCATTCATGGTCTGACCATGAGTGATATATGATTTTGTAAGACATTTTTTATTATGCGCAATAGTGCTGCATTTACAAAACTCAGTATTTTATTATCGAATACCTTATGGCAGATTTTAAATTGAGGTCAGTGGTTGTTACCAAATTTTTAGATTGTATAAAGACAAAATATAATAAGACAGTATGTATAAATGATTTTAGTACATTTACGAGGAGACAACCATTTAGGGTTTAGTAAAGTAATGAGATTTCATTCTTCCATTTTAATATTAACAATTCCTAATGTAATTACTCATACAGTTTTGTTGTAGATATAAATATTAGTACATTTTATTTATATTAAGTATAACATTCAATGCTTGGAATATGCTGTTTTACTTATAAATGTCTCAGAGATATTATGATGTGTTTATATTAACATGTAAATGGGTATAATTATGTAAATAAGGGAGGTAAATCTACAGTAGATATTATAGATTTCTGTAATGTGGACTGTGGAGTTGCCCCTCTTATAAACTATAAAAGTCTGTTATAATTCTTTAAAGAATGGCTGTACAATTTACTGTATGTATATTGTTTTAATTATATATGTATGTATAGATCAGACTATAATAAAGAATAAATATTAATATTTGTGTATCTATATTTTTTTGTGTACACTTTTCTTAATGGGACACTACTGAGGTGTTTTGACATAATGGGACAAGAAATATTTTTTTCGAGATTAAGGCCACTTTTATATGTAGGTCTAGACCAATAACTTGTGTACAACTTGAAACGTTTTTCGCTTTTGGTCATTTTGAATAATAAAAATAATTATTCTGAAAAACAAAGTGAAAGAATGACCTTATATTTGGACACTAGAACTACAAAAATTGTATAAATGTCTCGAAAAAATATTTCCAGTTCATTCTTGTTTAAAAACACTTCAGTGGAGTCCCTCTAAAAGTACAAGTGAAAAACAATTAAATTGTGCTTAGATGATTTATGTGTTTAATACCTTTTATCGTTAGAGCAAAAATCATTGTAATTCAATAATTATTTCAAATACTGCCATAGCAATAGAGTCTGCACGCTTTGTTGAATAAACAGCACTTCAACATGTTTTATGTTTTGGATACCTTTCAGATGTTTTATGTGTTTAATACCTTCTATCATTAGAACAAATATTATTGTAATTCCATAATTATTTCAAACACTGCCATAGCATTAGATATAGCAATAGATTCTGCACATTTTTTTGAATAAGTAGCTTTTTAACGTGTTTATTAATGTTTCATTTTTCCTGACCAATTGCGTGTGTTGTGTCTTCGTGTAACCATAATAAAATATTCTTTGCCGTGTATAACTTGTTTTTTTCCCTTTTCAATCCCGATCACCATCCCAGTCTTAGCCTGTTTCAATAACAATGAAAGAATAAATTCAATAAATCAATTGAGGTTATCATTTTTTAAATTTAATTGCAGCCTCTACACTTTATAATGGAAACAATTTGCGTCTAAATATTAATAGTTGACTATTTTGAATTATGTTGTGGTCTTAATGCAGGGTTTTCCTGTGTTGATTTTATGATGGCAAATAAAGAGAAGTGGTAAACATTAACTGTTATTCGTTCAGCACTTCTTTCTTACTTCTTTGTACATTTTTTTCAAAATAGAAAATTATTTGTACGTAATCTTAATGAAGTTAAAAAGGTGTTTAATGGTTATATCTGTGTTATTCACTTAAAAAATTCTTACACCTACGTTTCCATATATATCCGGGTTATAAGGAAATCAGTATCATTGAAATTTACAACATATATGTAAATCAACACTTCATATATCTTGCTTGTAGTTCCTTAACATAAAAATATCTCAAAGAAATAAAACAAACATGATACGCAAAATCATTACAAAAGGCATAAACATCATAAGATTATGTTATCACTGCAATTATCACAAAATGAATTCTAGAATGAAGCGTTATTTATTTTCAGACATCTTTGTCTTATAGAGAACATCACACAACTACGTACAAATAAATAAATGTAAAATGTTCAACTATTCTTGTTTTTAGAGCCTGCTTTATTTTGCTAAAGCTTCCACGGTTGCGTCTCTCGTTTACCTTTGCGCGTGACCCAATTCAACTCATCCACAGTTGAAATAAAATGTAAATTTATGTGTATGATTTGAACTAAAAGCTAAGATTATCATTATATTGGGCGCCAATTTTCATGTTTGACATTGAATGGTTTGTTCGATGGATGCCGATAGCGTCAGTGTTACCAAAGTAAATCATTTGTAGTGTGTGACTAATAAGCATAATTTTCCTCTTGCTAAAAGTAGGATTCATACATTGTTACATGTAGATTTGAATTCATTGGAATCATGTGAAGGGAAAATGAGGGTATAAACAGAAATCCCAACCCATTTTAGTTGAAAAACCAGTATTTCACTGCTATATCCCAGAATAATGGGTTGTAAAATCTTTGATATTGTTTAATCATAGGATGGGGGAGATAGTTCATTTAGAGAAAGTCTAATTAAAGCATGTTGGAGATATATAATATTTATATTCTAATATTCATTTTTGTCATTAGAAAGAATATATATCACTATAAAATGAAAACAAAAATTGACAGCATTACCCTACTTTATCACCTTTCTATTGCCTTTCAAAATAATACTTTTTAACCTCTTTGGTAATTGTTTGGCGGAATTACAATAAAATCAATTATATTGTTAAACCAGAATACATTCATCAGATAATGATTTGTTTGACTCAATGTATAATAAACTCTTTATCTAAAACATCCAATCTTTAAAAAAAGACGAATAATGTGAAACGCAGACACCAAACTAGAAATGTGTCGTCACGCCACTGATGCCCCCGCATGCAGCCACAATTTCAGATGTTACAATATGTAGGTCCAAATTTGTTTGGACAAACTATTTTTTTTTCATTTTAAGTTTAAAGCCCTTAAAACTATTCAATGTAAACACAAACCATTTTTATGCAAAGTTCAAGGTACTGAGACTATTCAGTTTTAACCTTTTGTAAATTGCATATTGCATATTTGTAGCCAAAATAATGATAACATATATTTCTACAAACGTATGAGTTCTGAAACTAAAATTCAAACTTTTTCCAACATTCAAGAGCGATAACTTTGTCTAAAGTCATTGAACCACGACCAAATTTAAACTTGAACAGCTTAATCCTAAGATGTATATATATGTCAAATTTGAGTTGAATGTGTACAACAATTGGGGAGATAATGAACGGAAACTGAAAATTTCATTTTTTCAAAGTGAAAGGCGCATAACTCTGCTAAAAATCAACGAACCATGACCAAATTCAAGCTTGACCTGGGCATTTATTTGACTTAACAATTTTTTTAATTTGAGTTGAATGTATAATACCGTTGGGGAGATAATGAACGGAAACTGAAAATTTCATATTATTTTCAAAGTGAAAGTTGCATTACTTTGCCAAAAATCATCGAACCATGACCAAATTCAAATTTGACCTGCGCATTCATTTGATGTATCCATATGTCAAATTTGAGTTGAATGTGTAATACCGTTGGGGAGATAATGAACGGAAACTGAAAATTTCATCAAGGGTCATAACTCTTCCAAAAATCATCGGACCGTGACCAAATTCGAACTTGAACTGTATTTTCTCATGATATATCAATATGTCAAATTTTAGTTGAATGTGTGCAACCGCTACTAAGATAATGAACGGAAACTGATGATGACGGAATGACAGAATGACGTAAGGACGGAACGACGGAACAGGGTAACACTATATGCCCCAGCCAATTTATGGCTTGGGCATAAAAACCAAATCAACGTCATTCAAAGCGACCCAAATAGGCGGACAAGACGAATGAAACGACAAGTATTAACTAAAAGGCAGCTTTCTTTTGGGCGTAGAAATTTGAAGAGAAAAGAGGATGTAGGAAAATGTGGAAGAGATGGAGTTTGTAGAAATGAAAGGGGAGAAAACACCTCCTGACAAGGTAAAAAAATAGATTGGTACACCAATAAAATAACAAATAATGTTGACAAGACACGAAGAAAGAATTTCGTAAACCAATGAATTTTTCAAATACCCGTAAAGGTTTTCATACTTCTAATATTGTAAAATTATTTTACGTGCAATTTTAAAGACAATGCAAAGCATTAAATTTTAACGCGACTATTATTGATGTTTATACATGTGTTTACAATAGACTTTTATTAGAATATGACATAGTGCATATCTTGTGTAGTAAATAAATATTTGTCTTAAGTTGCATTCGACTTAAAATACTCCCTTAATGGTGAGTTTATAGTCCCCGTCTTGTCCGTACACCCGTCCGTCACGCTTTTGTCCGGATAATATCTTGTATTAAAGGAATTCGATTCAAACTTTACTCAGTGAAAGAGTTAATAATGCGTATCCTGTGTATAACACAGTTGTAGTGACTAGAAAGTGAAAGTGTGTTGTAAAAAACATAACAATACATTTATGGTTGTTTAAAAATATATTCAATTATAAAGTGTTTGGAAAATAACTTGAAAGTATTGAAAGAATTGGATTAGAAATTCACGCAAATAGAGAAACCGGTAGAAACGTGCAGTTTCAAAGAACCAAATTTTTTTTTTTAAATTGTCTCTCTTTACCATACTTAAACTGTTAAATAAACCGTGTCCGGAATAGAACCTCTTTTTTGTCAATGATATCTCATTTAAACTTCGCACAGCATTAGCTTATTTACTAATGTCTATCATATTTAGTAGATTGATACTAATTTACGGTGCAGTCGACAATAAGGTTAAGGTCACCAGGGCTAAATATTAGTTGTTGTTTTTTATAAGCCTTCATTTATTGACTGATGTCACTCTTATTAAGTAGGTAAAAGCTTGGTGGGCACTATGACTTTGGTGTGGATGAGAAATGGTAAATTAGGTCAACCGCCCGTTCAAGGTTACAACACTGTTAAAAAGGATGTTTTAAAGGTTGCCTACGCAGCCTTTTTATTGACTAAAGTCTTAAATATTTGGTAGGTAGTTTGGGTTGTCCTCTAGCTATGGGTGAAGGAAAGGATTACTAGAGTCAAGGTCACTTATGCTAAAGATAATTTGTTACACTTTTATTGACTAATGTACATTGAAGTTTTCAAAGTGTAGCTTTTTAAATATTACAAAAATTGTGTCTTAGGGGTCGAAATTAACACAGCTTTTCTCTTCTCCAGATGTAAATTATTTTGCGCAATTCTAATAACTATTCTTCTTTGAGTACTTTTTAGTTTGTCAAAAGGCCAAAATAGCTTTTTTTCGGATCAATTTCTGGCAAAACTACAGTATAGAAACAATTACCAATAGTTCATCAAACTGCAGGTTATGGGAAATATTGAAAAGACATTCCATCACAATTAAAATCTTCGTAAAGCATAAAAAGAGGTCATCTTACGAATCCGCAAAGATTGAATGACAAGGTGTAAAAGGTTGTTTTTCTTTTTTTTTATGACGTGGTTGGTTGTTTTAATGTTAATTATTAATGTTATCCGTTAGAAAATTTTGTACAACTTATGTGTTGTTAACGGAGTAAAAGTTTTTCTTTTTTGATAAACCGTGACATAACGTTATGGACATTTAAATTCATATCGCATCGTTGACATGGCATCTATCATCCACACCTTTCATGTTGAATGACATAGTCTTGAACCTACCCTTTCTCAATAAATGTGTTAAATACCATATTAAAACTATTATATTTAATTTAAATGAAGTCAATATTAGAAAACAAAATAAAGATAGTGATATTTTAAACAGAAAAAAAAATGTTTTGAACTCATTTTAGTCACTTTTCAATATTTGTGAAGTTCAAATTACGTTTCAAGAGAATTTTACCGGGTATTACATGATACAACTACATATATGTTTGAAAGATGACATCGATGAGGTATGGTCATTTGGTTATAGTTATTCGTCACTGTGGTGTTATATTGACCAAAGAATTGTTCCTGAAAAGAGTTAGTGATATAACACCGAGTGGATCTGAAAACCCAGGGACTGTAGATGATTTCTTAAAAAAAAATAAAAAAGAATTACTCGTGTATAAACAAATAAAATCAAAAGAACATATGTTCTACCCTGGAGAGATGAAGAAAGCAAATGTTGATGAGTGGGAATTGAGTACGTTTTGTCTCCTGCTATAAGAGTTCTGTACATTATCGAGAAAGATCCGCCAGGACATACTTTGCTTGTCTGTATGTAGAATAAAGTTAATAACTTCTGTTCTCTAACTGTCTTCATGTGCTGATTTGAGAACATTCTGGAAATGCTGATTGATTAAATAAAATATATTTTGTAC